GTACTGCTGATGGAAGACAAAAGAGGAAGCCAAAGAAAAAAATGTGACTTTGATTATTCTTATTATACAAACCCTAAATTTAAGTAACAACAAACATTTTATTAGTGAGGTAAACAATTGCACCTTAGAACAGACACAGCTCAGTTCCATGCATGCTTACTCGGAAGTAAATATCACTGAATTCAATGGGGCACACATTCGTAAGTGTACACACTACTGTAGCCTCATTCACAGAGTTCACAAGAGGGAGATTTATTCTGAATGGCACCCAGAGAACCGGTGCAAGATGGAAAATGTTAAGTCGCTTGAGAACAATAGCCAAAATACTATCAAATTCTACGCATGTGGAACTGGAAAGTCACCCAGAAAGACCAACCAGGTCACAAGTCTGAAACTTAAGCCTCTTAAGTTTAGATCCCACTGAGTTCAATGTGATTTATTTCCAAGTGTGTGTCTGCGTGTTTAGTCTTTTTTCTTTTTTTAAAAAAGCCTTTTTAAACTGTACTGCTCAGTTAAAAGGAAGTTGAAAGAGGGAGATGGAGGAGTCAAATCCTTTCAGGAACACCCTAATAAATGCTTAGATAAATATAACATAGCACAAGGGAGCTTGTGTTTGGCCTGGCAGAAGGAAAGCTTTTGTTACGGATTACCTTCTTCTATCATTAGGCTCTGTTCTGGTAACTCCAGCAACAGCTGTTAGCCAATAAGGTGCCTGCATTTGGGGAAGGACAGACTGTAGACGAGTGTGGTGTATAAATTAGAGTTCCAGACTTGACTGGAATAGCAGAGTTCAAATCCCCACACTACCACAACTGACTGGATAATCTTGGGCTGGTCATTCTCAGACTAACTACAGGGCTGTCATGAGCATAAAATGGGGAGAAAAGAACCATGTACCTCAACTTGAGATCCTTAGAAGAAGTATGAGCCAAATATGTAATAACTGTGGCAAGACACCTCTGCCCTTGCAGCAGGCCTGCCTCCACCCCATATTGATAAACAGCTGCCTTTACTGAGAAACTGTGGTTTGGCAGGGAATGCAGACCAGATAACAAGGTGGTTTCCTTCCTGGATTTGTCAGCTATTACCTAGGTGCTAGGATATATACTAATTCATGAAGTTTCTTTTGTTGTTCTGTTTTCTCATTTGTGCTATTATAATTATCCTCAGTCTATCCTAACACTTCTCAGCCTAATGTTGTTACTTAAAACCATTTTGGTTCTTTTCCCCTTAGAGACTGACCAATCCCTTTCCTTCCTAAATTCCACATACACCATGGTTTTCTCCCACTGTCTTTCTTCCCTTTCTGGCAACTCTGTTTTTTATTTTTGGAAAAAATAAGAGATAATGAAACAGAATTCATGTCCCTGGGATCCAAGATCACTGCAGATGGTGACTGCAGCCATGAAATTAAAAGACGCCTGCTCCTTGGGAGGAAAGCTATGGCCAATCTAGACAGCATAATAAAAAGTAGAGACATCACCCTGCCAACAAAAGTCCGGATAGTCAAAACGATGATATTTCCAGTAGTAATGCATGGCGGCAAGATGTGGACCGTAAGGAAGGCTGAGCACCGAAGAATACATGCTTTCGAATTATGGTGCTGAAGAAAACTCTTGGACTGCAAGGAGATCAAATCACTCAATCCTAAAGAAAATCAACTATGACTGTTCCTTAGAAGACCAGATACTGAAGCTGAAGCTCAAATACTTTGGCCACCAAATGAGAAGGGAGCACTCACTGGAGAAGACCCTGATGCTGGGAATGATTGAAGGTAAAAGAGGGGGAAAGCAAAGGATAAGATGGTTAGACAGTATTATTGATACAATGAACAGGAAATTGAGAAAACTCTGGAGAACGGTGGAAGACAGAAGGGCATGGCGTGATGTGGTCCATGAGGTCTCGAAGAGTCGGACTTGACTGTGCGCCTGAACAACAACAACAAAATAAAACACAGAAAAGAAAAAATGACAACATATCATAATTATATATATCAAAATTATCAATCAAAATTATATATAACAAAATATATAAAATAGAAAATATTTATCCTCAACACCCCCTTCATTACATCGATAGGTTACACTAATAGGGATTCTATAAAATACAATAAAACTTATTTCTGTTGGGATACATTTATATTCAACTTTTTAAATTTCAAATTTTGTAATTAATCTGCTTTTCAACTGAATTATTAACCATTGCTGCATATTCAATACTGTAAATTTTCACCATTTCTGCATACTTGCTAGTACTTTTAGCAAATATACAGAAGGCGAAAATACAAAAGAGGACTATTATATATCTGCTAGTTGAAAATAGGTTTCTCCCCCAAATCCACTTCCTTATACACATTTATATTCAACATGTTATATTTAGAACTAATCCTCATTCTACTTCATTGCAATACAATTAATTGTATACAGTATTTTAGACTACTTCTCATTCTAAATTTGACTCCTGTTTGCATAATACACACTCCACCTCTTCTCAAATTTCGTAACTGATCTGTTTAATTTTGCCATCACTGCATATTCAGCAAATTTATTCCCCCTTTCTTCTATGCATAGACAAATGTCTGCTTTCCATTTTGTTGCGTAGAGAGCTTTGACTCTCACAAGGTCACCCTGAAACTTGTTGGTCTCTAAAGTGCTACTGGACTCCAATCTAACTGTAGTTTTACTGCAGACCAACATGGTTACTCTCTGAGACTATCTACACAGACCAGTGTTGTCCCTGCATATATAATATTAGGCCTGTTTTTACCCAGAGCAGAGAATGAGGTGGTAGAATGAAATGCATTTTTTAGGGTTGATGAATTCCAGTTGTTGCTTCATATACAAAACATTCACTAATGGAAACACAGTACAGTGTGGAAAAATCTTCCACAACACTGTTTGCTAGCTGAGCTGGTTTTAAGAACATAAGAAGAGCCCTGATGGATCAGACCAGTGGACCAGTAGCAGGAACTCCTTTGCATATTAGGTCACACACCCCTACTGTAGCCAATCCTCCAAGAGCTTACAGTAGCCCCAGTAAGAAGAGCTCTGTAAGCTCTTGGAGGATTGGCTACACTAGTGATGTGTGGCCTAATATGCAAAGGAGCTCCTGCTACCAGTAGAGCCCTGATGCATTCCATCTCACACAGTGGTCAAACAGTTCCTCGGAGGGCTAACCACAGGGTATAGAGGCTGAAGCCTTCCCCTGGTGTTGCCTCCTGGCCTCAGAAATCAGAGGCATGTGCCTCTGAACATGGAGGTTTCCCTCAGTGGTTAGTAACCACTGATAGACCTATCCTCCATGAATCCACCTAGTCCCCTTTCAAAGCTGTTTAATCATGTGGCCATCACAACACCCTCCCAGCAGCAAATCCCACATTTTAATCGCGCTCGGTTTTCCAAAAGGTAGGAGCTTTCCTAAGTGCCACTTTCACCTTGCAGTCTGAAGCCCTGCCCTCTGTTTCACCGCCTTATTCCCCTGGACACCTGTCTTTCTAACAGGCCTTGGCTATTATTCAAGCCCGCTCCCTTTGGAGCCAACACGGGCAGCCACTTGCTCCTCTCTCCAGCTGCCGCTAGAGGGTCTCTGCGGTCCTGCCAGGGTTACACTGCTGTCGAGAGAACTCAGGCGGCTAACCTCGCGGGCAGCTCAGAGGGCGAGAGGACGCACGAGCACCGCCCTCGCGGGATCACCTAGTGCACGGCCGCTGCCAAGCCGCAAGCCAAGTAGCGCTAGATTCGCAGCCGGTGGAGGGGGGTGGGTGGGGGTGGCGTGCGCGCGCGGTGTGGAGTA